ATAGATCTGTAATTTTATAGTGTGGTGGTGTTGGTTGAGGGGAGGGGGGGTGGCAGGTCAGACAGCGAATTATGGTGTTGTTTGTTGATCGGTTTGGCGAGGCTTTATTGTGTCCTGACCTGACCTGACCTGCCTAAACTGAAACCTAACCTAACCAAACTTTCCCTACCCTAGCCTTATTAAACTTTCCCTAACCTAAACCTAACCTAACCTAAACCCAACCTAAACTAAACCCAAACTTTCCCTAACCTAACCTAACCTAACCTAAACCGAACCTAACCTAACCTAAACCCAGACTTTCCCTAACCTAGCCTAAACCTAACCTAAACCCAACCTAAACTAAACCCAAACTTTCCCTAACCTAACCTAACCTAACCTAACCTAACCTAACCTAACCTAACCTAACCTAACCTAACCAACCTAACCTTACGTAACCTAACCTAAAATTGGAGTATAAAAATTCATGTGTTTTTTGCGGTCGTGGGTTCTGAAGATTATTTTGTGTTGGCTGTCTACATCTGATATTGGCGGTCAGGACGACATCACAAGGGGGATTATGTATACATCCACCTTCATCTTATACAGTTTCTTTGTGTGTGTGTGTGTGTGTGTGTGTGTGTGTGTGTGTGTGTGTGTGTGTGTGTGTGTGAGTCTACCGTAACTCACTATCACGTCACCAATAACCTAACACTACTCAACCTTAGTTCTACAACCTCTAACACCGAATGCCACAACTCACTATGATTTTCATAACCCACTACCCATACAACCCATCGCCATAACCCACCATTACTCCCATAACCTTCCTTTATAACCCACCTCCATAACCCACCATTTCCACAACATATCATTACCACCACCCGTTACCATCACTACCACAGCACACCCTACCACCACAACCACCACTACCAAACCTACCACTACCACCACAACCACATATCACTAACACCTCTCCAACCGTCCTACGCGGCGCCGTGTGTGTCAGACCTAAGCCTCAAGGGGCAGTGGTTGTTTCATGTTGTCAGTGAGGGCGGCCACTAGAGGGCAGGGAGGTAGGCGTAGAATCTCTTCCTCCCTCTCTCTCATTTATTTTCCTCCTTTCATGTTTCCTCTCCCTTATTTTTTGTCCTTCTTTACTTTTCCTTTCTTTAGTTTATTTTCCTTGTCCCTGTATTTGTTAATTGATTTTCCCTATTCCTTTTTATTTATTAATTTCCCTTCTCTCCTCTTTCCTTGTTACTTAATATTTTCCCTCTCCACATTTTTTCCCTGGTTATTTATCCATTCCTCCTTTACTCGTGTTTATTAATTTTCCTTCTTTTCTTTTCTTCCTTTCCTTTTATTCGTTTATTTAGTTAATCTGGCTTATTTTTTCCTTCAGATTTAAATATTTTCTTCTATATTTCCTATAATCTTCATTGTGTTTATTACCTTTCCAATTTTTTTATGTAATTTTTAGTTTATTCTTTTAACATTCCATTCTTTATTATGTTGATCATTTCACAATATTTAATACCTTTCCATTTCTCATATTTCATTGCTCATTATTATATATCTTCGTTTATGTATCTTATCTATGTTTTTCTTTCCAATTTTCTCTTTCCTAACTTTTATTGCTCTTCCATTTCCCGTTTTTTTTTTATTCTTGTCGCCTCTCCATCGCTTTCACGGGGTTTATTAATATTTAGTTTTTATTTCTTTGTTCAGTATTTCTCTTTCATGTATTTCTATTACATCTGTCTCTCGTATTTTTTGCCTTTCCCCTTCTCTTTGTGATTCAGGGTACACAAAGGAGGGGGGAAGGGGGCTCTCACGCCCCGGGGTCACTCAGTTAGTCAAACAGAAAAGGCGCTTAGTAGGCAAATAACACAAGCAAAATACTATAGAATATACAGATTACTAAAGGTGTATGATATCAATACACACACACATACACACACACATACACACACACACACAACACACACACACACACACATACACACATATACAAACACACTATCACCAAGAACAATAATAGTCTGAACCATTTGTTGTTACAAGCACAATGAAGCATAATTAATTTTACCTGTGGTGTTGTTGGGTGGTAATGAGCAGGTACCGGTGGCAGTCCCTCTCTGGTGGTGGTGGTAATGTGAAGGTGTGTGTGTGTGTGTGTGTCTGTCTGTCTGGCACTGTCTGGTGACCCACGCCTCTGACCTCTTGGTGGCTGACACTGCCGGGGTTGTGGTTGTTGTGGTGGTGGTGGGTGATAGTGGTAATAGTGGTGATGGTGGTAATAGTGATGGTGGTGGTTGTTATTCTGGTTTTGACGGTTATGGTGTTGATGATGGTGGTGGTTGTGATGGTGGTAATAGTGATGGTGGTGGTTGTGATGGTGGGTATAGTGATGGTGGTGGTTGTGATGGTAGTTATTATTGTGATTTTGACGGTTATGGTGTTGATGATGGTGGTGGTTGTGATGGTGGGAATAGTGGTTTATAGTGGTAGTTATGGTGTTGGTAATGGCTATGGCACACTGGTGATGAGATGGTGATAGTTTGACATGCTAGATATTAAGTAATTATGTATGTCTAGACGCACCATTATAATTCTATTTATAAACACACCCAATATCATTGCCACTCACAAGACAGCAACTCTCCCACATCAAGAGTAACTTCAAAATTTATTAAAACTTCCCCAAAAATGTATGAAAAATGTATCGCTGTATTAAATTGTTCAATAATATACATCAACTTTGAAAAATGTATGAGAAATATATCGGTGTTTTTAAATATTTATTTCAAAATACATCACTGTATCAAAAATGTATGAGAATGTATTAAAGGATAAAATAAAAATGAAAAATAGATTAAGGTTTTGCGAACATACTTGAGATGGCCTTAAGGAACACCCAGCTCCTCCTCCTCCTTCTTCACTAGTGGCGTGACTCAATTAACACCTCCACTAGTTTTAAGTTAAGGTAGCAGCAGTTACAGTTAAGTTACTTAGTTACTGCTCCACCTCACTTAATTCCCAGGATTTAATTGTTAGTGCTAATTACTCCGGGTGTCCGAACAGTGTCACTGTGCCTGAAGGGAAATAACTTCAGGGCTTTGGTTTTTGTATGATCATGTATTTTTCCCATTAGTTTAAGCGTTTTAAGGTATGTCCCATTAAGCTTAAGAATCCCCAGGTATGTCCTAGCTTAAGAATTTTGAGATATGTCCCATTAAGCATAAGAATCCTAGGTATGTCCCATTAAGCTTAAGAATCCTAGTATGTCCCATTGCATAAATCCAGATATGTCTCATTGCTTAAGAACTTGTATATGTCCCATTAAGCTTAAGAATTTTTCAGGTATGTCCCATTGCTTAAGATTTTTAAGGTATTTCCCACCAAATAAAAGTTTCCAAATTCCCATTATCACTTAAAGAGATAACGAGTATTTCCCACCATGTAATAGTTATCACTGTATTTCTTTCATGTAAAGAGATTTAAAAATATTTCCCATCAATTAAAGAAATGTTCCTCAGTACCCCCCCCCCCCCCCATCCCCTTCAGGTAAACACTGCTCGGACACCCCCCCAACACAGTATGATCACTTTCGCTTAGTGTTACAGCCTTTATCCTGATAAGTGTGTGTATGAGTGTGTGTGGGTGTCGCCAAGCCTTACCACTACCACCACCACCACCACCACCACTACTACTACCACTACAACCACTAACACCATCACATCACTATTACTACTACCACTATCACCACCATCACATCACTATTACTACTACCACTCATCACACCACCACCACCACCACCACGACCACCACCACCACGACCACCACCACCACAACTACTACTACTACTACTACACTACTACTACTACTACTACTACTACTACTACTAACACTTTCGCTATCACCACTACCACCACCACCACTTACCTCATTTACATACCAGATTACTGTTCATCCTCTTAGCGTAACCTGACCTGACCCCTTCTAGCGTGCCCATTATTGAGTCAATTAGTCGTTTTGGGGTTTGTGAGTATGACCTGACCTCATTAAACTTATTGGACACACTGAGATTATTTGGGTCACAGTGGTTATATTGTGTAAAGTTGTATTATATTGGACATTTATTGAAGTCACTGTAAATTGGTCTTTTCATGCATCTCTGTATAGTAAATGGTCATGGTACGCGTATAGTTCAAGATATGCCTCCCTGTGAGACCTACCTGCCCCTCTTCTTCCTCTTCCTCCTCTTCTTCCTCTTCCTCCTCCCTCTTCCTTCCCCTGTACCTGTGGCTTTCTTTAATACACCAATCTTCCCACCCTCCCACCACCCTTCCACCAACACCCTTCCACTACTCTCCCGTCTTAATATCCAAGTCATTCCTCCTCTTAGTTCTTCAATCTGCCCCTTCCTTTTTTAGTCTTTCCATCTCTCTTCATCCCTTTTCATCTCCCAATTCTTCTTTACCTACCAATCTTTCCTTTCCGTCTTAGCCTCCCTCTTAGTTTTACAGTCTTTCCCTCGTAAAATCCCAGTCTTTCCCTATTTAGTCTCGCTTCCTTCGCCCTTGCCATCTTCCTTCTTTCCTTCATTCTCTTATCATTCCTTTCTCTCCCATCTTTTCTCACTCTTCCATCCTCCAACTGTTCTTACTACCATTCCATCTCTCTCTTCTCTCTCCCTTCACGCCCGCTTTCCTTCCCCCCCACCTCTCTCCTCACCCACCCTATCTCCTTTTCCCCCCCACTCTCCCTCCTACCTTCCCCCCAAGTACCTCCCCCATCCCTCCTCCTTCATAAACATCCATAACTCAGACAAAATAAATAAATAAATAATAATCTTTCTCAACACAGAAATGAGTTGGTGGAAGTAGTTATGGGTTGGCGACAGTAGTTGGTAATAGTAGACGGTAGATGGCAATAAGGACGGTAGATAGACAGTAGAAGTGGATATTTTTTTTATTGTTGTTGTCATCTCTTTGACCTCCCTCTCTGCCATTCTCCAGCTTCCCTGACCTGCCAGAATATGAAGAAACGCAGGCTACAAGGTGAGTCGCCTTTAATTATTTCTCCATTGATTGATTGATTGATTGATGAGGGTGATTTATACTCCTCATCTATCTCTATCTACGTGTTATTGTTGTTGTTGTATTGATGTTGTTGTTGTTATTGATATTTTCTTTTAATCATTGTTGTTGTGTTTTTTTTATGTTATGCACCAAAGCTTCGCCGCACCGCTCTTGTCTTTGATGCATGTGGGTGTGGGTAGTGTTTGTGGGTCTGTTTGTTGGATGCATGTGGGTGTGGGTAGTGTTTGTGGATCTGTTTGTTGGGTGTTTTTTTGTTGTCTGTGTTTGTTTGTTATTTGTGGGTGCCTTTGTTTTTTTCTGGATGTTTGTTTGTTTGTTTGGGGGTCATTAAACCATGTGTGTGTGTGTGTGTGCGCGTTTGTGTGTTAGAAAGAAAATTAAATTGACAGACAACAGACAGACAGACAGACAGACAGACAGCCGCTTTTTTGTGTTCTTGTCTGTAGGAGAGTTAATAGCCATACCACTTATACCCAAACTTAATTACATTTAATAGCCCTATTAGGCCCTATTTAAATATTCAAGGAGGGCTTTTATCCCCTATTATAATGACCAAGAGAAACATATTTTCATTTGCTAGAGAAAACCAATATTGACTCGTAAAAGAACTAAATTTTCCCCTCCTTGAAGGATCCTATTTTTACTCTCTACACCTATTTTTAATGTAACAATATAAGCTGAGGTGTAATTTATTTTTTTGTTATGCGTCCAGCTGAGAAAGAAATGAGTTTCTCAGACAGGCAGACGCTGATAAATGAATACGTCTGTAGTCACTTGAGACGACCCATCTCTACTGAGGCAGGAAGGGTGACGTTAAGCCCCTTCTACCCTCTGGTGATATGTTGCCAACTATTGAAATAGATAGAGGTTTTACATATTATTTACTTTATTATATTATTATTATTATTATTATTAAATTATTATATTATTATTATTATTATTATTATTATTACTATTACATATAACTATTTTTAGTTATGGAGATATTATTATAATTACTTTTCTATAATTACCATGATTTTTATAATATGATTCAGTAATATTACGCTGAATATATCACATTAAATTATAATCCTCATAGGCACACGTAACACAGAAGACAAACAACTTCCTGGGAACCTCTTCTTTACTGCCTTGGGGGACACTTTCTGTACATCTAATTATTTCTTTTCAGTTTTTATTTACTATTGGTTACGGATAGAAAGTTAAATAATTCCATTAGTTAGCTCAAACAATGTTAATTAGCTTGTTAAAGATGAGTTGCTTTTGTGATTAGCGTTGGATATTTGAGAGCTTCTGCTGCCCGAGGGAAAGGGGGGGGGGTGGCTCCTAGTGAGTAATTTGTGCTGATGGAGGAATTTTATTTTATTTTATTTTTGTTTAGTTTTCCTTTCTCGGGATTTGTAAAAAGAGAAAGAGAGCTTAGAGATGGGGTGATGTAGAGATAGTGAGAGGAATAAGGAAAGAGAGTCGAGAGAGAGAGAAAGAAAAGATAGTTTGAAAGAAAGACAGACAGATAGAGAAGAACAGAAACAGACAAAACGAGAGATAGAAGCTGATAAATGGAATGAGAGATTGAGAGAGAAATAAGTAAATAAAAAGACACAAACTAAACTTGTTTTCGTTAGTGTAAGAATAATAACGATAAACTTAATGAGAATAGTGATGATAATGATAATAAAAATAATAATAATATTATTATTATTAACGATAATAATAATAGTGTTATTGTCTCCGCACGCTCACAATTTTTATTCCACTTTGTTAATAGTTTGTCTGTATGTCCTATATATCTGCATGTGTTGAATACTGGCAACAACCCTTCCTCCTGGGTATAATAGAGCATCGTGTCTCTCTGTCTGTCTGTCTGTCTGTCTACGTGTTAACTACTTGCTAGATATTTTGTCTTTGTTTATATATATATTGAGTTTCCTTTATATGTACTATTAAAATAACTCAAATTTTATCATGAATTGTGAACTAAAGTTTATTTGAGTGTTTATTTCCATCAATGGGAGGATGCGTCCCCGTACACACCCAGATGGGGTTGTGTTAAGGGTTCTTTCCTCAACTTACATCTGTGTCATTATTAAAGACGCCCACATAAAAAACAAACAGCGCCAGCATGAGTAGTTATGACCCTGGCGTTACCTCACCACCCTAGACGTAATGACGCACCTATGAAAGTTACGCCAGACGAACGCATTCCTGTCGTTTGTCCGCAGTGGCGTTCCTTCATGGTAGGGCCTGAGGACTGAGGCTTGGTGGTGTTATTGACTGTTCCCTCTTGAGTTAACTTTGTTTATCATCTTCGTTTTGTCACCCCAGAACCTCCTCCCCATCCTCTTATCTCCCTCGTCCCTCACCTCCCTTAACCATCACCTCTCTCTCCTGTCTCTCCTCTCCCCACTCTCTCCCTCCTCTCTCTCCCTCTCCCCACTCTCTCCCTCACCTCCCTTCTTCCCACCTCCCCTCACTTTTCCCACCCCCTCAATCTCTCCCTCTCCCTCTCTCCTCCCCTCTCCCGCCGTCCCTACCCTGACTGATAATGTTTTCCCCCATGAGGAGGGACGGTGCCTCATGATGGTATAAACGCCGCCAATGAATAAGTCTCTGTCACTCTGGGCTGGAGTTATAGGAAGATTATTCAGTATTATGATGGATAACCGAACGTTCCTTCCTAATATGTTATTCATTTCATCTCGTATCTTATCTTTGTTATCTTGACGATTTAAAGTCATTTTTTAAGACTTTTTTATATTTCTCGTTTTTAATTCTATTTTTTATCATATCCTCGTGTCTCTGTCTGTCTGTCTGTCTGTCTGTCTGTCTGTCTGTTGGAATGTTAGCAACTGGTACTATTCTTTTGTTTATGTATACTCATGAGCGTTCCCAGATATGTATTCTAACTTCATGTATACCTATGTCTACCATCCTGCATGTACAATCAAGTATGTATTCTATTTTTAATTTGGATTGCCGTTGTGATATTGTTACCTTGTATACAGGTTCATCTTGTCCAGGTATATATATTGTATTGTGTTTACCTGGCGTACCACTGTTTCCCGGCACCAGGTAAGTTATGACGTGTGTTATAGATATTTTCATTGATTTTCTAAGCATCCACTGGATATTTTTCTCGTATATCTCTTTTTATTAATGTTTTGTTACCGAGTTTTTGTTGACATGGAGAGTATTTTACCGTATTTGTTGATGAGAGTATTTTCCCTTATTTCTGTTGACATTGTGGATAATTTATCATTTATAAGCATTCAGAGAAAATGTTTACCAAGTATAAGCTCTAAGATAATGCCTCTCTGTATATTTAACTCATAAAGGATATTTTCACCGTGTTAACCTAACATAATTTGGATGTTTTCACCGTATTTTTTTTAAATTCAAAATTTTAACCGTCTTTTATCGCATTAATAAATTAATTAATGTTTTCTGAATATATTAATTTATTCCACTGTATACACAAATTCTATAGAGAGATTGTTGACTCTCCACCAGAACTCTTGAACTTCTAACAGGGTCGTTGAACCTTTTCCAGGGCTGTTAATCCTCTTTCCATCAGTTGAGGGCTACACTAGGGCGTTAAATTTCTTAAAATAGACACCAAAAGACCCATCGTGTATTTAATAGCTGTGTTATTGTGTAGTTGGGGGGCTGTAAATCTCGTGTGTGTGGGTGTGTGTGTGTGTGGTGTGTGTGTGTGTGTGTGTGTGTGTGTGTGTGTGTGGGTGTGTGTGTGTGTGTGTAGGTGTGTGTGGTGTGTGTGTGTGTGTGTGTGTGTGTGTGTGTGTGTGGTGTGTTGTGTGTGTGTGTGTTGTGTGTGTGTGTAATAATAATAATAATAATAATTAACGGTTTATTGAAGAGCTTGGCAGCCAGAAGGCTGAAATACAGTTACATATTTGGGAATGGGTTATGAATTACAAATAATATACAAGTAACATAAGTGACACAAATAAGACATATATAATAACTAGATGTGGAAAAGCCAAACTACAGTTCATTTCAACATAGTGACAGTGTAAGGAGCAGTGTTTACTGGGAGTGAATACACTGATTTATTACAAGTTATTGATATTTTACAATGGTTGGGACTGGGCTGTTCTTAAAGCGATCAGTTCGTGCACGTATGGGCTGGATGCGGTTGTGGTGTCGAACAGCAATTCTCGGACAAAGGATCTCAGGTGGTAGTAGGGCCGGTGTCGGGGATGGTGTCATCTTACCAAATTGCAGATGAGGTCGTGATGGTCAGTGAGAGTCGAAAGGGTCAGTGTGTTGAGCGCTTCTTGATATGTGGAGTAGGAAAGGGAGAGAATAATCTTGCATGCCCTCTTTTGCACTTTCTAGGTGTTTACGTTGTGTGGCATTTGGGAGAACCAGGTGTGTGTTGGTGTGTGTGCGTGTGTGTGAAGTGTGAGTGTGAGAGTGTGTGTGTGTGTGTGACGTACCCACACGAGGCTAGATACTTCTTCCCTGTCACCTATTCATTTCCCCGCCGCTCACACGTTTACCACACCTCTACTACCTCACCCACACACTCCCACACCTCTCAAGACACGCACACACACTCCAGACACCCACACACTCAGGACACCCACACACACTTTCAGAGACATCACACTCCCAGGACACCCACACACTTTTCAGATACCCACACACTTTCAAGAAACATCCACACACTTTCTAGACACCCACACACCTCTCCAGACACACCCACACACTTTCAAGACACCCACACACTTTCCAGACACCCACACACTCTCCAGACCCCACACCTCCAGACCACACACTCTCCAGACACCACACACTCTCCAGACACACCACACACTTTCAAGAGACACCCACACACTCTCCAGACACCCACACACTCTCCAGACACCCACACACTCTCCAGACACCCACACACTCTCCAGACACCCACACACTCTCCAGACACCCCACAC